ACAGCACAGCTCATTACCACATTAGGCTGCACCCCCATGTTACCAGAAGTGTGCTTGTTATTCTATTTACCTTGTTTGTTGTCAAAATTCAGGGCTTTTTTGTAGCAGGAACTCCTTTGCATGTTAGGCCACACACCCCTAACGTAGCCAATCCTAATGAGTTCCTGCTGTTGGGTGTGGCCTATTATGCTAATGAGTTCCTGCTGGGCGTGGCCAACTTGGGAGCCAGCCGGAACTCCGTTCCTGTGCGTTCCTGCCCCAAAATAGCCCTGCCTCTGAAAGACACAAGCCAGCTAGTTCAGAAAATGACTGCTCCTCTCTTATTAAGTGAATGTTTGATTCTGTCTTTAGACATACAGGTGGCAGTTGAAGGCTGTGGTTATAATGTGTAGTTTGGGTTCCTCTCAAGCCCTTTTGTATCACATCTTCCATTCATCTCATAATGAGTCATCCTTCACTGTGCTCTGAAGTGCACCCCCAGCCAGCCAGGCCCTGGTGAGACTTCCTGAGTCCTCCAGCAAGATTTGTGCATCTGTCCAGGAGGTCAGATGTCCCACCTTAAGAAATCATAATTTATATAATTGGAGCAGGTTGTATTGACTTTGGACTTTGCTTGAAGCCTCTAATCTCTCCTTATATATAATTGAATAGTGGGTGCCAAAGTTCTAATTCTAAAATGCACTCCCTTAGTGTATGGCTGATGGCACTGCTCCTCAGCATATATCGCCACCAATCAGAAGGCAAAGCCCGGGTCCCGCCCACACCACAACTGCTGCGACAACCTGGTCTTTTGCATATGGAAGCTGATTGGACTTCACTCCATTCCACACCTCAAACTCCCCCCCCCCCCGCAAGGCAGTTGGAATGTCAGTTGCATATGGAATCTGCTATATTCTGGTGGTGTGCAGGTCCCAGATTCATGTTTTAAAAGCAGACTGGCACTGTTTGCCCAAAGCCAGAGCACTCTCCCAGAGCCTCTTTCTAGATCTCGTTGTATTTATTTCCACAACGGGCCTTATTTCTAGTTTAATATAATAGCATTGTTGGCATTAAGCTGGCAGCTCTGTAAAGTGGTTTGCACTTAGTGTGAGGAGCTACAGTCTTTCCATTTTTGTTCTGGACTTTCAGCGGTGGGAAGAGAAGTTTCCAAAGGGGTGGGAACAAGACTTCGGTTGCTAACTGCAAACCACTTAAGAAGGCTCATTCTCACAGTTCCATGACGGCAGCTTGGCCAAAAAATGTAAGAGAGTCATGCTTTGCATTGAATGTTAACGCTAAGATGGAGTGCCAGAAATTTAAAACAGAAAAGAAAGCAGAGAATAAGGAACAGTTAAACTACCATCACAGGACTGTTATGAAAGTAAAATAAGTTTAAGCTGTATTGCAATCGTCCTCTGGATATTAGAGAAATTTAAAATAAAATATGTCTGCAAGCCTGTTCCAGCAGGGAGGGGGTGGGAGTCATTGGACTTCACTGTTACACCCCAAAGATATGAAAGCTAAATTGAGGAGCTGGAACATGTACATACATGGTAGTCAAGTCATTTCGCAGTGGCTTCCCTTGAGTTCAATGGAATAAAATTAACAGACTTGTAGAGAAATGTCCTTCAGCCTAGAATTTACCCAAGTAATTCAATAATTGGGACCAGGGGTCATTTCGTAGAAAAAGAGCTAGGGGAACTCATTAGCATAACTCATTAGCATATGCCACACCCCCTGACATCAGGGGCCCAGCGGTGGACCTGCAAGGCCAGCAGGAGTGCGAGGAAGCCCCGCCAAGGCCCTCCCTGGCCCCAGGCAGGCAGGGGTGGGGAGAGGCGGGGAGGAAGCAACTTACCCTCCCTCTTCTCCTGCCTCCTCCTGGCTGAATGAGGGCTGGAAGCGGGGCGGCCGGAAGCAGGGGGCGGGGCTTCGTCATGTGCCCTGCCCCCCTGTACCTCACCCGGGGAAACTGCATTCCCCCATGTTCCCCCCCGAAATGACCTCTGATTGGGACTATGCATTGTCAGAGATTTGGAACCCGCTGCAAACTTGTATTGCTGATAGAAAGGAGAGGGGACAGGGAATGAGTCACCATCAAGCTCCAAGCACAGAGTACTTTAGTGTTGTACAGATGGAGATGGCTCTGGCTAGTAAGAACAAAGGATTTACTTTCACCTTGCTAGAATTTCACACCTAAAGGAACAGAGTCTAGAAACGAATTTCTTCATCTTTGAGGCAGGAAGACCAAAAAGACCCCAGAGGTGAATGGACTCTCTCTCAAGGAGAGATTATAAATTCTCAGGACATGAGAAAGAAGCTGTCTCTTAGCTTGTATCTTGGGGCCAGGGAGGCAAAAGCCACAAAGGACTACGTTTCTAGCTTTCTTTAACCCATCTTAGCCACATGGCCAGAGACAGTGGGAGGAGTTCCAACTTTGAGAACAAAGGTAATGACGGACTTTTAAATGCTGCAACTTCAGTTTTTACTAGCCTATCCTAGGAATAACATCGTTAGAATAAGGATAGAGTTTAGGCTAAGAGCACTGCTTGTTTTTACCTTTTCTTTGTATCCTGGCTTAGCCTGATGCTTCGATCATGTGTGCTCTTTTTATTTTTGTTTCCTAAACTTTCTTATGTTTTGAAATCTTGAAGCCTAATCTCTGTAAACATACCTTGCCTATTTGGTCCCACTATCTAAAGAGTGGTAAAGGGAAGGGGCAGCGGGTGAGCTCACCATTCCTTGAGTGCAGCAGCTTTGAGTTGTAGAGGAGGTATTGTCTGTCCCTGTGCTAGATTGTAGGCCCAAAGTGGGAGATAATGGCAATGAAATGGAGTGGAGCCCCTAAATGGTAGCTTAGATACAGAGTGTGATTAACACATGGAATTCACTGCCACAGGAACTGGTGGCGACTACAAGCATAGACGGCTTCAAAAGGGAATTAGATAAGCATATGGAGCAGAGGTCCGTCAGTGGATATTAGCCACAAGGTATAGATAGGGGCTCTGGGGCAAGTGATGCTCTGTCTTCTTGGTGCTTGGGGGGGGGTCAACAGTGGGAGGGCTTCTAATGTCCTGGCCCCACTGCTGGACCTCCTGATGGCACTGGTATTTCTGGCCACTGTGTGACACAGAGTGTTGGACTGGATGGGCCTTTGGCCTGATCCAACATTGGCCATTGAGAGCCAGTTTGGTGTAGTGGTTAAGTGCGCGGACTCTAATCTGGGAGAACCGGGTTTGATTCCCCACTCCTCCACTTGCACCTGCTGATGTGACCTTGGGTCAGTCACAAGCTCTGACACAGCTGTCCTTGAAAAAGAGCAGTTTGTGTCAGAGTTCTCTCAGCCCCACCCACCTCACAGGGTGTCTGTTGTGGGGAGGGGAAGGGAAAGGAGTTTGTAAGCCGCTTTGAGACACCTTTGGGTAGTGAAGGGTGGGGTATAAATCTAATATCTTCTTCTTCTTCTTCTTGGCGTCTCTTATGTTCTTATGTTCTTATGTGCAAATCCATCTAACAGGACATAATCTTTGATTTTTTTGTAGCATCAACTAATGCCCAGAGAGCAGTTAGGTACCCTTGGGAGTAAGGGAAAGGGGTGGTGTTGCTAAGTGGAGACTTGGGATAGCTGTAGGGTTTTCTGACCTCTCAGAACCAAGAGGGAATCACGCTTGCGAGTCCATTGTTTCACAGGTCTGTAATGTGGGGTTCAGATAAAAAGGGGCATTGTGCCCTTCACTCCAGGCGCACTATTCATTTTTATTTTCTCCCATATAAGAGAACAGCTAGCATTAATTCTTATGGGAGAAAAGTAAGGAAGCATCAGATTAAAGTTAGCAACTCTAGTTCAGGACAGCTCATGCGAGAACACTCTTACTTGTTCTTGTAGTGAGCAAGAAACCTGCTGTCTACTTGTGAAAGTGAATGGCCTCCCACCATTGGAGTCCTGTAGGGTGGCGTGATCTGGTCCATGGGGTCGCGAAGAGTCGGACTCGACTGTGCGACTGAAGAACAACAACAACAGGGTGGTGGGCTTGGAGGCAAGACGTTGCATTGCATTTCTGTGTGCAGAGAGCATGCACATACTCTTCTCACGCACATGACATATGAGTACATACTGAGCGATGTTTGAAGCAGTCAAATCCGCCCACCTACCCACCTACAGTAATGCAAGGCTATCTACCAGATAATAGACTCTTCCAAATACCATGTTAATCATTCTGTGGCTGTTATGGTACTCAAGCCAACTGGATTACGTCTGCATTTAAAAGATCCCTGTCTGAAGACCGAGCCTTAGAGAATGATTATTCCTATTATTTTTGCCACTTTAATGGGCTGTAACAGCAACTGTGGAAGTAGAAGATATTTGAGTTTGGTTTTTTAATGTTTCCAGGCATTCATAGCCTGGGAAGAATCTATGAACATTTAAGAAATGTGATTTATGGTTTCAAGTGTGGCTGTGTAATCTCTAATTGCGTTGGCTCTCCTGCATTCCTTTATGCGCTGCTTGTTTCCTAGGAGGCGATCCATAAACAAGCTTTCGCCTCTTCTGACTGCCCGAATAACAGTAGCGGCCGTTCTGTGACTTTGGGGGCTTTTCTGAGAGGGCGGGGTGGGTGGGGGAAGAAGAGCTGGGGGGGGGAATGTAACATGCAGTTAGACCCTGCATTGAAAGGGGAGAACCACTTATTAGAGTCACTGAGTGAATACAAAAACAGGGAAAGTGGGATAACGTGTTTAGCATAAAACCAAAACAAGCAGGGGATTTGTGCCTCAACTAACAAATTTCAGCATGAAATGAAGAATGTGTTTCTTTCTATAGAGAAATGTTGGGGGGGGGCTGCTCCCCCTGTAGGTTTTTAAGAGAGCCGTTGTCTTCCACATTGGGTCTCAACGGTAGTGGCTTGGGGTTGGGCTGGGATTGAACGGTATTATGCGTGAGGCTTTGTGTGTTGTGCTTCTGGGATTCATCTCAATAACGCGGTGTTGCTGTCTGAACGCATGTTTGGCCTGCTTCTTGCAGGATGGAGCAAGAGGCTTCTCAGCTAGAAAAGAAACATGTACACAGTGTCTATGAAAGCACAGCCGCCTACTTCAGTGATCTGCAGAGCAAAGCATGGCCTCGTGTTCGACAGTTTCTACTCGAACAACAGCCAGGAAGCCTCATCGCTGACATAGGTAAGGTGTGACTGTTGCAGAGTATAAATTCACATGAGATACTAATAACAGAAGAAAAGGCTTCTGTGTCACATTCCATGCAATGACAAGGTTGTGCTGAAAATTTTGATGTTCCTATACACTGTAATGCATGGCCCAGGTTATGCAGTTGATTGTTAATTTATTGTCCTAAAATACATAGGATTAGATCCTACCAGCTTTTCTGCTCAGTCTTGCTGGATTCTTCTGCACAGTGCAACCCCCTTCCCATATGGTGTGTGTCCACATGGATACCACAGGCCTGGCACAACCTTCTCATGGGGTGGAAGTGGCCCCTCCTCCCTCTTCCGCCTACAAAAAAGCTGGTAGGATCCAATCCGCCAACTCCAGCCCAGATCCCCAAATGTGCTTTGTTGTGCAGACAGAGGCCAGAGGGTCTGAGCTTCTCATTCACGTTATGCATTCCTTTGCACAAGGCTCTTTTTGTAGAAAAAGCCCAGCAGGAACTCATTAGCGTAATAGGCCACACCCAGCAGCAGGGACTCATTAGCATATTGGGCCACACCCATGACAGCACAGCTCATTAGCACATTAGGCCACACCCACATGTTACCAGAAGTGTGGTTATCCAGGCACACCCACCTTTTGCTTGTTATTCTGTTTACCTTGTTTGTTGTCAAAACCCAGGGCCTTTTTTTATAGCAGGAACTCCTTTGCATGTTAGGCCACACACCCCTAATGTAGCCAGTCCTAATGAGTTCCTGCTGTTGGGTGTGGCCTATTATGCTAATGAGTTCCTGCTGGGTGTGGCCAACTTGGGAGCCAGCCGGAACTCCGTTCCTGTGCGTTCCTGCCCCAAAATAGCCCTGCCTTTGCATAAGTGAGTTGCTCTTTTCTGTTCTTGTGAGTGGGTTAGGAGTTTGGCATGTACATCAGAATACCTGCAGCTGGAGCAGTTGTAGGGTGATGTCTTACCCGTATCTGATTTTCAGCACATGGAGTGTTTTTTTGGGTTTTTTTAGTGTAATAAGAGCCATGCTGGATCAGACCAACGATTCACCTAGTTCAGCATTGTTTTCAACAGAGCCCTTCCAGATGCTCTTGGGCAAGCTAGCAAATTAAGGCATGAAAGCAACATTGCTCCCCATTTTGTCCCTGACATCTGGCACCTGGTCTTTGAACCTTGAGGAGGAACACATGCAAGCTGTCGAGGAGCACAGTCTGCTCCATCAATGAAATTGGGCTTTTGGCTCAACAAAAGCCTACGCCACAACAGATTTCTTCATCTGCAACTTGCCACAAGGCTTGTCTTTGTGCTGTGAGTAACATACTGTGGGTAGCTTTGAATGCCTAAATGCTCTAAATGCTGTGCTATGTACACGTAACTCTATGCTGCACTGTGGTGTTTGATTCCTAGAGTGTTTTTTAAAGAAATGTGCGGGCTGCTGCTTTGGAAATGTTGCTCTCTTGCTATTTTCATGTGCTCTCTTGCCCTCTTATAGCTCTTGTGGCATGGCCTTGCAGATAATACTCCCTTTAGCAGACCAACAATACACAGTACTGTTCCTGAAAGAAATTCCAGGCTTTTCAACAGAATTGCTACTAATGCAATGATGTCTTTCGCCTGGCAGCTCCCTGGCCTCTCCCCACTGTAAATGTTATTCTCTGTCCCTTGCCTCTGACTGTGGTACACTTTCCAAAACCTCACTGGGAAAAAAGAAATGTCTGCCAGTGATTTTTTCATTGAAATAGCTCACTTCTTGGCAATACTTTCAAACCGTTCCCGCAGGGAGTGAGTCAGAAAATGTAATCGCTCTTCACACTTAACAGGTGCGCACCTTTAATAAATACAAAGCCATGCTCCCATCCAGCAAGGGATACCTGTATGCCGAAACAGCTTTCCTGACATGTACAGCTGTGCTCACAGAGGTGTACCTGCGCCATAGTACTTATCCAGGCCCCACAGGACTGACTAGATCCGTCTTCTGATTCATGTATCTTAGTTGTTGCCCATGTGGGGCCCATTAGGGCCCCACATTAAAATGCATTTTGATTTTCCTATCTGAGAAGCTCTGAAAATGTGATTGATTGGGGGAGTGCTATATGCACAGGCTGGCATTAGAATGATAAACACACAGAGCTGCTGTAGGCAAAGAGCTGAGCCTAGGCGTGTAGCCAGAATCAAGGATGGGCATTGTTGGACCAGTGCCAAGGCCCCAGGCTTTGGAAGTATCCATTAGAATATAAGAAGAGTCCTGCTGGATCAGATCAGTGGTCCATGTAGTCCAGCATCCTGTCTCACACAGTGGCCAACAACAAGCTCCTCTGGACGGTCAGCAATGGGGCATAGAGGCTGAGGCCTTCTCCTGATGTTGCCTCCTGGCTCTGGGATTCAGAGGATCAGTGCCTCTGAATGTGGAGGATCCCTTTAGTCATCACGGCTAGTAGCCACTGGTAGACCTATCCATGAATCTTTTAAAGCCATCTATGCCTGTGGCCATCACTACATCCTCTGGCAGTGGATCCCATGTTTTAATTACTTGTTCTGAAAAGAACTATTTCCTTATGTCCTGAATTTACTGCCCATCAGCTTCATTGGATACTTTCAAGTTCTACAGTTTTGGGAGAGGGAGAAAAAGTTCTCTATGTCAACTCTCTCCACCCTGTGCATAATTGTATAAAGCTCTGTCACGTCCCCCCCCCCTTTGTTTGTCTCTTTTCTAAACTGAAAAGTCCCAGACTCTTCAGCCTTTTCTCATGGGAAAGGGGATCCAACCTCTTAATCATCCTGGTTGCCTTCTTCTGTACTTCTCCAGCTCTGCAATGTCCTTTCTGAGAAGTGGTGACCAAAACTGCACACAGTATTCCAAATGAGGCTGTGCCATAGATCTGTTTATAATGTTGGGTGTTTTATTTTCAATCTCTATCTAATAATTCCCAGCATAGATTTTGCCTTTTTTCAGTGCTGTAGCCCACTGGGTTGGCATTTTCATTGAGCTACAGTGTAAACTAAACCATGCTTCTTTTAATTGTTCTAAGGGCAACTTAATCTGCAATGATAACAAGCCTATCCTGCAAAACAAACCTACACTACAAAATAGGGTTGCCAAGTGTCACTTACTTCTTCCGCGGGGGACTCCCAGGTGGCTCCCGGAGTGTAAGCGCGCGCCGCGTGCATGTCACCAGGAAGTGACGTTATGATGGCAGGCACGCTGGGGGCGGGGCCACGACCATACAAGGGAAAACCATAGTGTTTCTAATGAGTTCCTGCTGTTGGGTGTGGCCTATTATGCTAATGAGTTCCTGCTGGGCGTGGCCAACTCAGGAGCCAGCCGGAACTCCGTTCCTGTGCGTTCCTGCCCCAAAATAGCCCCGAGTATAGCCTTTGACTTTTTCCACTGCTGCAGCACACTGGGTTGATACTTTCATTGAGCTATCTACTACGACCCCAAGATCTTTTCCCCTCTCAATCTCAGCAAGTACAGACCCCATAAACCAATACCTGAAGTTGGGATTTTTTTGTTCCACTTTAAACTTAACAACATTGAACTTCATCTGCCACACTGTTGCCCACTCACCCAGTTTGTGGAGATCCTACAAGAGCTCTTCAGTCAGCCTTAGTTTTCATCATCCTGAATCATTTTGTGTCATCTGCAAACTTGGCCACTACACTACTCACCCCTAGTTCCAGATCATTTATGAATAAATTAAATAGCACTGGCCCCAATACTGATCCTTGTGGGACCCCACTGCTTGCTTCCCTCCATTATGAGAACTGTCCATTTATTTCTACTCTTTGCTTCCTGTCATTTAACCAATTTTTAATCCATAGAGAACCTGTCCTCTTATCCCATGACTGCTAAGTTTGCTCAGGAGTCTTTGCCTTGTGAAAAGCCTTTTGAAAGTCCAAGTCTACTGCGTCACTGTTATTTACATGCTTGTTCACTTTCTCAAAGCACCCCAAAAGTTTGGTGAGGCAGGACTTCCCTTTGTAGAAGCCATGCTGGTTTTCCCTCAGCGGGCTTTGTTCCTCTATGTGTCTAACAATTCTACCCTTGATTACAGTTCCTACTAATTTGCCTGGGATGGATGTTAGACTGACTGGCCTGTAATTACCTTGTTCCCCTCTGGAACCCTTTTAAAAAATCGATGTAATGGGTTAGTAGATCAACAGCAATGAATACAGCCTGCTCTCTCACTCTGTCTCTCTGGTTGCTGGGAGTGGTTGCAATGTCCCGCCCCCCCCTACATGCATTCCACCACCACAGGGGGAGTTGCTGGCTCTTCCGTTTCCTCTCATTCTCCTCTGCCAGACAGAGGCCTGCAGAAGTGGCTGCTTGCCTGTTCACTCACCTGCTCAAGTGAGCAGTGCTGACTGCTAGTAGGAGTAGGGGCAGCAGCCAACCAGAGGGAGAGGGCATGCTCGGAAGCAGTCATGGCTGCTCATTTGCAGTGGCAAAAGAAGATGGTATTTCTGGCCACTGTGTGATACAGAGTGTTGGACTGGATGGGCCTTTGGCCTGATCCAACATTGGCGTCTCTTATGTTCTCTCTTATGTTCTTATCCCCTTGCCTCCTCTCTCTGTCTGGGTCATTGCTGCTTCTGGAAGGCCCTGCTAGGGAGTATCTTGCCAAGAGTCCCCCGGATCTATGACTGGCCCTGTCCAGTGGCCTGTATTATCTGACACTGGATATTCTTTGGAAATATGCATGGAGTGGATTGACGATTCAAATGAAGGATTAGCTTTGACTTCTGGCCACTATTTAAGGTTGATCTTTATTTCTGTCGGTTGTTAAGGGGCAATATTTCTCCTCTTGTGAAGAACTGCACAAATGATTGAGCCATGGTGGAATTGTGTACTTGGGTGTATTTTCCCCCTGTATACGGGATGAAAACTCTTTGCATAACAGTTTTTTGTTTTTCTTCCCCCAAGGATGTGGGACTGGGAAGTATCTTGGCGTCAACAGCCAGGTGTATAATCTGGGCTGCGATTACTGCGGCCCTTTGGTGGAGATTGCAAGAAATAATGGTTGTGAAGTGATGATCTGTGACAACCTTAATCTTCCTTTTCGGGGCCAGTGCTTAAACGCCATCATCTCTGTCGGAGGTAAGGAAGTTAAAGCAGTCTGCGCGTCTGACAAAAATCACCTGTCCACTGTGTTTTCTGATAACTATGAAAAACGCAATCAATATGTACTGACAACTTCTTTCAGTGTACAGTGCTCAGCTCTACATCAATGCCTGCTGGTTTTGTCCTGAAAGAGCAGAGATGATAACCATTCTTGTCAGCAGCTGTGCAAAGGTTTTTAAAAAAAGAAGCTTGCAGCAGTCTTTAGCAAGCAGAGGGATATGAAATAAATTTTCTTCTTCAGTTTAGCATAAAAGAGAGCGCCTGAGGCTTAGGCTGGGGGTGGGAGGAGCAGGAATTAGCTCTTGGGTACGAAGAAGAAGGAGGAGGGATTTATACCCTGCCTTTTACTACCCAAAGGAGTCTCAGAGCGGCTTACAAGCCCTTTCCCTCCCCCTCCCCACAACAGACACCCTATGGGGCTGAGAGAACTCTCTCGAGAACTGCCCTTGAGAGAACAGCTCTGAAAGAACTTATGACTGACCTAAGGTCACACCAGCAGCTGCATGTGGAGGAGTGGGGAATCAAACCCTGTTCTCCCAGATTAGAGTCTGCTCGCCCAACCACTACACCAAACTGGTTCTTGTAATGGGGCAAACAGAGCATGTTGTCCATTCCCCTTTCTGGCTAGACAAGAAAAGAAACAGTGCAGCTTTTAAAAATGACATATGGGGTTGGATCCTGTGACTCCTTTCCCCTGAGTTGGAATGCTATTACTGTCCTCTACGAAGCCGTCCTTTTCTCCATCAGAGGAGGTCTTAGCAGAAGAAAATTATAGGATCCAGCTCAGCAGAAAGGAGTCATAGGATCCAACCCAGTATATGTAGATATAGATATATATATAAAAAATTTGACATTAGTTTATCTATTACAATACCAAAAATATTTTAAATTTGTTATTACGCATGAGCAATTCGAGCTTCAGGGAACTGTTTAACCACCCTAATTGATTGGTTAAAGATTGCAGCCTACTTGAATGAGTCTATAAATTTATCTACTGGAATGTGTAGGCTAAAATGAGAAGCTAGGTGGGAAACTGGCTGGGGTGGGGCTTTCAGCTAGGGACTGGCCATGCTCCCAGTCTCCCCCCATCTGTTACAGGGATGAGTCATCCGCATTTCTCATAAGAAGAGCCCTGCGCTGGATTGGACTAGTTGTCTATTTAGTTGGGCTTTCTCCTTCTAACGGTGGCCAAGCAAGTTGTCTGCATTTGTCAGCATTTTCTGCTTGCAAAGGAGGACTTGTTTTTTTTGCAGTTGAGTTAAAACTGAACAGTTCTGAGGCAAAGTCTGCAGAGAGCCCAGGGCAGAGACTCCGGCTCAAACTAGGGTTGCCAACCCCCCCAGTTTGCCAGGGGTCCCCCGTTTTTTTTTGGGGGGGGTTCTACCCGCCACCGGCCAGATGGCCGGTGGGGAAGCCCCACCCCCAACACCTTAAGTGTGTGCAACCATGTTTCATCCCAAGCGCGAACTCCGCAAGCTTGCAGGGAAAAGCCAGCTTCGTTCTTGAAAGGGAAACGCAGCTGCTCTTAAAGGGGAAACGCCGGCTGCCGGCTACTTTAACTGCAGGGAACTGCAGTTTCTGGAGATCCGGTGCACGGGCGGGTGGGGGGGGCGGCAGACGTCCCCAACGTGACATCATCACGTGGAGATGCCCCACCCCCTCCAGGAACGCCCCCAAAGTTCCCTGCTGGGGGTGGAAGATGGACTTGGCAACCCTAGCTCAAACTCATCATCAGGAAAGGCAAAGCCAGGCACATGTTGTTTCTAGCTCCTTATTGGACGATGAGCGACTGTGGATCTGTTACTTACTCCTGAATGTCTGCATTTAGCTTAATACTGTATGTCATAATGAACAGAATGTATTGAAATTATTTATCCCCAACGCCACCTTGTACTAAAGGGCCAGTGGGTTTTTTTGATAGCTTCACATAAACAGGGTTGTATTCTTCTGCATGAGTATAGAAAAAATACAGGATGCAGTGGGTGGGTAGAGAGTCCAGTTTCCTGGGATCTTGGCTTCCCTTTCATTTTTCCAAGGCAAGTTTCTGGGATGCACAGCTGTGAAGATGATGTTCTTGAACCTTGAGGAGGCACGTCTGAACAGTTTTTCCAGTGGTTAGATGCTGGAGCTACAATTGGGGAGTCTCCACCTCCTGGAAGTTCCAGGCCCCCAAGATGTTACGTTTGCCCAAACTAGGGCCAGAACGTTTTCGGTGGCGGATCCTACCTGGTGGAATGAACTCCCGGAGGAGATCCGGGCCCTGCGGGACCTTATACAGTTCCGCAGGGCCTGCAAGACAGAGCTCTTCCGCCAGGCTTTTGAGTAGGAGCCGCCGCCACCACTATTCCACTACCGTGGTACTGTTTCATCATCTACCCCTATTATGTGGGGGTATATGTCGCCTGGCGGAAGTGGGGAGAACATCACTGCTGGAGCCCTCACTATTTAATAAAGCTGGCCGTCGATTTGGGATTACTGTCCATCTTGGGGATTTAGATACAGGATAATAGAGCACCTTAAATACTGTTATGAATTTTATTGTGGATATGTAATATTGTTTTATTGTATTTTATCTATTTAATCCGGCATTAGCCGCTTGTTAGCCACCCTGAGCCGCTTGGAAGGGCGGGATATAAATCTCAAAATAAATAAATAAATAAAATAAATAACTCCACTGCCATTGTTCTGTCAGCAAAACCAGAATAAATGGTGTAAAACTGCACAATGTATCTCAACTGTAGAACTGAGATGTTCCTGGGACAGAATTTTAATGGTAACTTAACGTTGGTCAAGATTTTGTATTGCTCAGAGTCTGCTGATTGCTGAACACAAATTCCTCTTTTGCTTCTTTCCCAGTGATTCACCATTTCTCCACTAAGCAAAGACGAATCAAGGCAATAAAGGAGATGGCCAGGCTGCTGGTCCCTGGAGGACAGATGATGATATACGTCTGGGCCATGGAACAAAAGACGCGGCGCTTTGAGAAACAAGACGTGTTTGTTCCCTGGGACAGAGCCTTGTGCTCTCAGCTCCTTTCCGAATCCAATAAGGCCGGGCTCAGGAACGATCTCGTGCGTGCTGTAAAACCACAGACTCCGCACGCACCGCACCTGACGGACTCTGAATACCTTTGCCCTCTTGCCCTTGACCAGAAGCATCCCCACAGGACTGAGAGCTGCTTACCTGAAGCCTGCTGCGTGAAAATGTCCGACGAGGAAGAAAACCGGTTTTACAGTGTTCTGGGGCGATCCTTTCGTGCCTGGTTCTCCTCCAGATCTTTGGACGAGTCAGCCTTGCGGAAGCCAAACGGGAAGCTGGAGCCTCTGAAGAACATGGCTGGGTGGAGGAACAGCACTGTATCCATCCAGCCGTCAAGGCACTGCAGTTTAGATTTAGGTTGTCAGGGAGCTTTGCTGAAAGGGCAAAGGTTAGACGACTACGAGGAAGTGTTTATGAAGCACGTGGCTTGCAAGAAAATGGAATGGCTGAGAGCCTCGAGGTCGCTGAGGGACTTCAACGGTGAGCCACCTGTATTAGCTCAAAATAAGAATGGAGAAACCTTGTTTCTGAGTGACCCTGTAGAAAACAGAAGCAACGGCTACATCTATCAAGGCAGCGGTCGTTCCCTTTCAGGCAGACATTTTAGAAGAACGTCATCTACCGGCTCCAGTGACTCTATTGTAGATGCTGCTGTAGCTGTGGAAGATCAGACGGCTCATGGACTGGATACAAAAGCCTTCATGCGCTATTACCATGTTTTTCGGGAAGGGGAGCTGTGCTCTCTGCTGGAAGAAAGTGTGCCTGAGGTTCACGTACTGAGTTCAAGCTACGATCATGGGAACTGGTGCATCATCGTAGAGAAAACAGATGTGCCACTGCAAGTGTAACTGTGGGGTGAAAAATACCCCCAAGAACTTCAGACTCTGCTCCCTGTGGAATTTAAAAGCATTTGTCTGTCTGTCACTCGCATTATGTGCATCTGTACGAGTCGTGCATTGTGAAAAGAGATGCTTGACATCGGGCTGAAAAATTAGCTGTCACATCCAGCCATCATAATTTAATGTTGCCTTTAGGAAACCTGTTTTTATATATATATATATATTTATATATATATATAAAACAGGTTATGTATGTATGTAAAGTTTTGTTTTAGAGGTAAAACTTTTTTTAAGGTAAGGGGCAAGGCACACCCACCCACCCACACATTTAAAATAGCAGATGTCAAGCCTGAATCCACAGGCATCCACCTGTGTGAGTCTTTTCTTTGCTGAGCTTTTGGTTCCCACGTATTGTTAGCAAGATTCATCTTATTCCCCACCCTCTGGTTAGGGACCATAATACTTTCACATTCTGTGTAGTAACTTTTCCCGCTGTTGGCAAAAATGTCCATAGCACTTCCTACAATGTTGCTTTTCCACTTTTCTTTTTAACAGTCTAAGGTGAGTGCTTTAGCGCTAAACCGCTATAGCACTGAAGTGCTTTAGCGGCACCACTGAGATGCATTGACTCCATTGATTCAATGCATCTCAATGGTATCACTATAGCACTTCAGTACTTGGAGAAAAACCCTATGGAGAGCACTGTAGCGCTAAACCACTATAGCACTGAAGTGCTATAGTGGTTTAGCGCTACAGTGCTCTCCATAGGGTTTTTCTCCAAGTACTGAAGTGCTATAGTGATACCATTGAGATGCATTGAATCAATGGAGTCAATGCATCTCAGTGGTGCCGCTAAAGCACTTCAGTGCTATAGCGGTTTAGCGCTAAAGCACTCACCTTAGACTGTTAAAAAGAAAAGTGGAAAAGCAACATTGTAGGAAGTGCTATGGACATTTTAAACAGCACATCACTCTGATTCAGAAGCACAATGAAGGGGTTGAAAACAAGAAAAAGTAGTTTCTCTCAAAAATGGCTCAGCCGTGCTTTGCTAACCTGACACAAGCAGGTTTGTATGAACAGGTAAATAAATTCTGCTAGCAGTTGGTTTCTAAAATGGGTCTGTGAAATGACAGGAAAAAATCCATTAGCAACCACTTACTAAAACAGAATATACGAAGGCATTGAAAAGGGCATATGAAAATCAAGGCCATTGCAGGTAGAAGCAGTTATAAACAACATCCACCAAAACAAAAACTCTCTCGAAGGTGACCATATTCCTTTTACTCCCCACATCTTTTAAAATCCGCTCTTTCTAAAAAAGAGAGGTTCATTTCAACCAAGGAAGCTGGCCCTGTACTATTCAGTATCAATGACAAGCATGGTTTAAGGCTGCAAACCTGTACTCACTTGCATGCACAGCTTCCAAACACAGGCCTAATGCACTCCATTACAAACCTTGATCATGTCACCCCCTCAGCCGTTGTTTCTCCAAGCTAAAGAGCCCCAAGCGCTTTAACCTTTCTTCATATGGAAAGTGTTCCAACCCTTTTATCATTCCAGTTGCCCTTTTCTGCACTTTTTCCAACGCTATAATATCCTTTTTGAGGTGTGATGACCAGAACTGTACACAGTACTCCAAATGAGGTCGCACCATGGATTTATTCAGGGGCATTGTGATATTGGCTGATCTGTTTTCAATTCCCTTCCTAATAATCCCCAGCATAGCATGGGCCTTTTTAATTGCAGTCACACATTGTCTTGACATTTTCATTGGTTATCTACTATGACTCCAAGACCTCTCTCTTGGTCAGTCTCTGCCAGTTGGAACCCCATCAATGTTTATTTATAGTTAGGATTTTTGGCCCCAATGTGTTTATCACTTTGCACGTGGCCACATTGAACCCCATTTGCCACGTTGATGCCCACTTGCCCATCTTTGACAGATCCCTTTGGAGTGTCTCACAATCCTCCCTGGTTCTCACCACCCTGAACAACTTCGTGTCATCTGCAAATTTAGCCACTTCACTGCTTACTCCCAACTCCAAATCATTAATAAACAAGTCTCTTTCCCTGACTTCTGCCAAGTTCTTCTTTATTAGTGTTGTCAGTTTTTGGGTTTGTGGCACCTGTGCCTCAAATAGTTGTGTGACAGGCAGGGATTCAGCTGGTGAAGTATTCCCCATTAAGGAAATAAGGAGGCTATGGGTAGCTTTGCCTGCTGAATTTCCTCCTGCAATGCAGTTGTTAAAGGCACAAAGTCCTGTCCCTTCCCAGTCTATTCCTGGTACAACTTCTTCTGTCAGCTACTTCACTGAAGTGAGCTACTTCTGTAAATATTTTCCTGGACTGTCACAGCTTCACTGTACTTATATCAGGGCATTGAATCAGCTTTTCTCTGTTATCAAGATTCATCTTATTCCCCACCCTCTGGTTAGGGACCATAATACTTTCACATTCTGTGCAGTAAGTTTTCCCGCTGTTGGCACTCAAATGTTTGTTAGATACCAGTTGTTGTAGCAAAGCATTGTAAATGCCATTCATAGCAAGTAATGATTGTCACCAAAATACTAGCCTATTTGTGTCTGTCTATAACAGGAGATAAGCCAATGACTTTATGTGACGTTAGTGTTAGAACTTGCAATATGTTTGTTTGGGAAGATCGGTTTGGGTAAATATTGCAATACTATCAGCTGAATTGCATAATTCTCCAGAGCACGTCTTCCATACTTTTAGGTGGACTCTGAAACATCTCTGCTTTGCTAGTATAAATGAACAGATCTGTTTCTAGAAGGTTTTTTTAAAAATAACATTTGGAAGAGATTCCCTGTCTCCCCCTGCCTCTCAGTGGCACAGCTTTAAAGTACATTAATTACTGGATAGATGGCGGTGGACCACATGGTCCAAGGTTCTGGTTTTGTGTGAGACATTCCCTTAGGACAATGTTCCTAGCAGACGATGTTACGGTTGAGATGTGGAAGACGAAGGCAGTACACCTGAAGCTGCCATCTGTAGAGCTG